AAAACTGGGTCTTCAAATAATAGCCTTTTCCTGGATACTAATGCAATTAAAAGTTTTCTAAATTTCTAAATACACAGATTTGTAGAGCAGACGTTTCTGATCATAGAGATCTACAATTCTGCATAGACAATGTTTCGTTACACATCTTGTCGTACAATCGCATATTGCATCGATTACAGCACCACGTACCAACAATTTTATAGTTTCGATCAATTTCATGTCACCATGTAACTTCATCTAGTCTTAAAATCTGATGGGCATGCCAAGCGCAAATCAATTAAGCTTTCGACCGTATACTAGTTCACAAGTTTACCAAACTTACAAGCTATTATAAAAATGAAATCATTATTTTTTTTTATCTTTTGAAAGAGTGAAACATGGCAAAAGTTTAACATCAATATGTGTTCGATGAACTTCACTTATTTGAATCCCTACACGACCTCCTACTTTATACTGTTCTGCTTTTAATGTTAAATGTTCGTCGTATAATTTTCGTTTCTTTTGAACAGCTGTCAGAATGTTAGTTGTGACTGATTGTCTGCGATTTTGATAACGAAATACAAAAACTGGTGACTTACATTAATTATTTGGATTATTCAACTTACGAACTGATGTTGATGGAACAGATGGATTATGTACCGAAACTGAATCGCCGTTTTACATTCATCATCTATGTCGTTACTTAAAACAGAATTCCCTGTTCCTAATGCTTCATCAATAAGTGCATAATCATCGGTCGATTTGTCTGATTATTGTCGTGCTTCGATCGGCACTGGTAAGAATTATTGATCGTTAATATTTTGATCTTTAACAATTAACCAAAAATCTAAATCTGAACGAAGCTTTTGTTCAAACATTACCTCGTATGGTGTATAATTGGTATCACAAGCCACACATGTGTTTATTTCATAAGTAACAGGCAACAGGCCATTTGACCAATGCTCCGAATTCGTTGATGACATTCTTTATCTAAAGAATCACACATCACGCCATTACCTCTTCTACCAAACCTTGACTTTGTGGATGTCTTGGCCGGCTTCTGATAAAACACATATCAAGAAATAGCAAGTTTATTACAACAATGACCTCGGCGACGAATTCGGCACCATTACCCGAATGTAGCATTTTTTGGTGGACCAAATGTAAAAAATAATTCACTCAGCTGTTTTACAACACCAGCAGTTAATTGATTGACCAGCGGATAAGCCCATGAATATTTTGAGTAAAGACCCTTGCAGTGCAATATTCATTGATATACAACGACACTAGAAGTGCATTAGGGCGAGTAGAAATGGCTATTATTTGAAGACCCAGTTTTTCAAAGCTCCTAGAAAATTTGCTCGAAAAACCACTTTTGTAACCAAAAGCGATACAGATTCTGAAGGAGACACTGTGGGCTATCCTCCCATGTGCTTATCTCAAAACCGATGTTTTAACCGAAAATCACCATTTCCGAGGAGGCGGAGGAGGGGCTTAACCCTTTGACTCTCGACTTTTTTTTATGGAACTTATGTTTGACAAAACATAGTGCTAAGTGACTAAGCAGTATTCAGAGGCTGCTGGTTAAGTTATAACAAAAAACTGTGTTTTCCTATGAGTA